AGGATTCACGAAAAAAGCAGTTCTTCCATTTCAAACAGACGAACATATGAAAGCACGGCTAACGTGAATACATCATAATCAATTTTCTCTCGGAAGCGAAGGAGGAAACGAAAAAAAACAATCATGCGTCCTGGTTTGTTGCTTCTCGTGGCTATTGTCGTTCTCTTTGCTTGTGTCCATTCGTCGCCGACAAAGTCGAGCTCGACATCCGTAAGATCCACAAGGTCTGATCAGGATGATGTTCCTGTTCACAGGTCCTTGCAAAATGGCACGGACACGAGTGAAGAAGAGAGGGTATCCAAAGTCGATGAAGTTATGCGGATTGCGAAGTTGAGTATTACGCCAAAACTCGGGAAGGAAGACTCTTTCGAATTCTTGAGGCTTCACGAGAAATCTGAACTTGATCCAAACGACAAACTCTATAAAGCGTGGATCAGACATGTAGTCCAGCATCCCGACTCCATATCAGCACCATTTCTAAAAGGATTGTCGAGAAGTGGCAAATCTAAAGTACATCTGCAGATAATTGAAGATTTAGAAAAGGCTGACGTCAGCAAACAAGTCCTGGATTCATTAAATTCTGAGCTAATAAATACGTGGGCAAACGATAAGAAAGCCTCTCTGGATGACGTCTTTACTGCGTTGAAGCTTGACAAAGCTGGCGACAGAGTGATTGACGACCCAAACTATAAAATATGGCTACTTGTTGCTCTAGAAAAACCTGACTCCGTTCCAAATTTAGCGATAGAGACAGTGTTGGAGAATTACGGTATTGCAGGTCTTCTGGAGATGTTTGAATATTTTTCAAAACGAGAATCTGTCCTGATCGCATTGGATTCTGCGATAATAAAAGTTTGGAAAGAGAAGAAAACCTCTACTGATGACGCCTTCACTGAGTTAAAGCTTGACAAAGCTGGTAACAAGCTGCTTGAAGACCCAAGATTTATCACATGGTTCCAGTATGCAAATGAAGAAACCGGCTCCGTTCCAAATTTAGCGATAAAGACGGTGTCGGAACACAACGGTGATGTAGGCCTCCTGACGATGTTGGAAGCTTTTTTTGATGAAGAAAACACCAGCAAGGCCGTCATGACCACATTGGAGTCTGCGCTGATGGATTTGTGGAAAAAGAAGGGAATGTCTGTGAATAACGTCTTCAAACTGTTGAAACTGGATCAGAAAGGTGACAACCTTCTTCGCGACAAACTACTAAAAGAATACGAATTTGGCATATGGCTTAAATATGCAGCAAAGGAAAGCCACAACCTTCAAGAATCAACGATAAAGATGGTTTCGGAACGTTACGGTGATGTAGACCTTCTGAAGATGTTGGAAGTTTTTGCAGACGCTAAAGCCAGCAAAATCGCTCTGACTAGATTGGAGTCTGCGCTGGTGGCTTCTTGGAAAGTCAAGAAACTGTCTTTAGTTGACGTCTTCAAACTGTTGAAGCTCAACCAGCAAACTGGCGATTCGCTTCACGAAAATCTGCTTAGAGAAATATGGCTTAGATACCGAAACAAAAATGCGAGTAAGCAGGATGTAGCGGGAGAGAACCCATTGCACGATTCGGTAGAGAACCCATCGCATCTGGATGGAAAATCCGCAGACGACGCCTTCACTGCGTTGGATCTTGACAAAGCTGGTGACAAGCTGTTTAGCGACCCACAATTCGAAGAATGGTTCCAGTTTGTGGCAAAGGGAACCGGAACTCTTCCAGAATCAGCGGCAAAGACGGTGTCGAAACATTACAATGATGAAGACCTTTTGAAGATGTTTAAAGCTTTTGCAAACGCTAAAGCCAGCGATGCCGTCATGACCACATTGGAGTCTGCGTTAATGGTTTCCTGGAAAGGCAAGAAAATGTCTACGCTCGACGTCTTCAAACTGCTGAAGCTGGACCAGAAAGGTGACGACCTGCTTCACGACAAGCTGTTTAGCAAATCGAAATTTGGCATATGGGCCCAGTATGCAGCAAAGGGAACCAAATCCCTTCCAAAATCAACGCTAAAGATGGTGTGGGAACGTTATGGTGGTGGGGGTCTTGTGACGATGGCTGAAGCTTTTGCAAAGGCTAAGGCCAGCAAGGCCGTCATGACCAAATTGGAGTCTGCACTGGTGGCTTCTTGGAAAGTCGATAAAATGTCTGCATTCGACGTCTTTGAACTGTTGCAACTGGACCAGGATATTGACTACTCACTTTATGTAAAAATGCTCAGAATGTGGGTCAATTATGTGAAAAGAAGCTCCAAATCACCGGACTTGACGATGAAACTCGTGATAGCTAGTTTCAATGATGTCAAAACTCGTGCGATGGTTCTTAGCGGTTTGATAAAGATTGATGGCGCTGACGAGGTTGTGATGTCAGTACAGAATTCGCTGTCGAAGTATTTGAAGCTGCATGAATCAAAAATATCTGCGTCTGACGGCTTCACTGCGCTGAGGCTTGACAAAGCTGGTGACAATTTGTTCAACGACCCAAATTACAAAATATGGCTCGAATTTGTAGTAAATAAAACCGGCACCCTTCCAGACTTAGTGGCAAAGACGGTGTCAAAACATTACAGTGATGAGGACCTTCTGAAGATGTTTGAAGCTTTTGCAAAGGCTGAAACTAGTGATGCCGTCATGACCACATTGGAGTCTGCACTGGTGGTTTCTTGGAAAGACAAGAAAATGTCTACGTTTGACGTCTTCACACGGCTGAATCTGGACCAGAAAGTTGACGACCTGCTTCGCGACAAACTGTTTAGCGAATCGAAATTTGCCATATGGTTCCAGTATGCAGCAAAGGGCGGCACTCTTCCAGAATCAGCGACAAAGATAATGTTGGAGCATTACAGTGATGAGGACCTTCTAACGATGGTTGAAGCTTTTGCAAACGCTAAAGCCAGAGATGTCGTCATGACCACATTGGAGTCTGCGCTGGTGGTTTCTTGGAAAGACAAGAAAATGTCTGCGTTTGGCGTCTTCACACGGCTGAATCTGGACCAGAAAGTTGACGACCTGCTTCGCGACAAACTGTTTAGCGAATCGAAATTTGCCATATGGTTCCATTATGCAGCAGAGGGCGGCACTCTTCCAGAATCAGCGACAAAGATAATGTTGGAGCATTACAGTGATGAGGACCTTCTAACGATGGTCGAAGCTTTTTCCAACGCTAAAGCCAGAGATGTCGTCATGACCACATTGGAGTCTGCGCTGGTGGTTTCTTGGAAAGACAAGAAAATGTCTGCGTTTGGCGTCTTCACACGGCTGAATCTGGACCAGAAAGTTGACGACCTGCTTCGCGACAAACTGTTTAGCGAATCGAAATTTGCCATATGGTTCCATTATGCAGCAGAGGGCGGCACTCTTCCAGAATCAGCGACAATGATAATGTTGAAACATTACAGTGATGAGGACCTTCTGAAGATGGTTGAAGTTTTTGCCGTAAAGGGTAAAGCCAGAAAAGCCGTGGGGTTTCCGCTGATTGCTTCTTGGAAAGACAAGAACTATACTGCGATACAAGTCTTCACACTGTTGAAGCTGGACCAGGAAATGGACAACCCGCCTTACGACAAACTGCTCAGATTGTGGGTCGATTACGTGGGTTCAAGCTCTACGACACCGTTGCTCACGATGAAGGTGGTGATATTAGGTTACTTCAAGAATCGTGAAACTCTTGAAATGATTTCTGAAGGTTTAGGAAGATTGGGGCTTGCGAAAAAAAACGTGCCGAAAGTGCCGGAAGTGTCGGAAGTGCCGAAGTAATTTTTTCAGGGACGCGAAGGTTCATTTAGAGCTAGGTCGGTCACGTATTCAACCTTGTCGATGGGGTCTGGAAAAACTTCTTTACAATTTGAACCTGGACCTCTTCAATCGAAAGTATCTATCGTCTGGATATCTGATGAGAAAGCAAGATTATACGTTGTCATTGTCGTCTTTAGGTCGGCATTCAATTACAATGTACTTTTGCATTGCTAATCGCGTGATACTGCATGCTTCTACTGTACGACCTTTTGTTTCTTGCTTGTCAAGCGTGGTTGTCGGTTCTTAAGAGTTAAGAAACGAGACTCTAGAAGACATGTGTGTATATGTGAAGGACATGATCACGAAAAACATCAGTGTCTCTATATTGACATACACCTTGACTGATTTTGCTCACTGCCATCGCTCCAAGCGTCGATACGCTTGTGCTAGCATCACATAGCAGTTGAACGGGATGATAAGGTCGTTTGCATTGGCATTAAGACGTAAAGTCACTTGTACCCTGTGACTCCATATAGTGCAATTTGTCCATTAAGGTGTGATACGTGACGTAGGAAGTATGCGCAAATCTAAGTACCAGGTTTCTAGAGATCACACTAAGATAGGGTCATGTTGGAGCCTAATCCTATAAGTTTGACGAGGTGGTTGAAGGCGTGTGTCTTGTCAGTTTCTCGCCAAGGAGGCAACGTTCCGAGGACAACCTCAAAGGTGCTGGACCGCCGCCGTCGGAGCGTCAGCTGTTCGTAGAAGGAGAAGGGACTGATGTCCAAAGGAGATTGCAGCGATGGTGGTACAGGCCGTAGTCTAATGCTAAGGACTCACCTCAGACCAAGAATGCAACAGATGAAATTTCAACTCTCACTTGCCAAAGTGGTTGAGAACAGACCTGCTGAGGTAAAGCTACGTGAGCTACAAGCAAGTAGTGCAGCCGTTGTTTACACAGGATAACAAAGCTGTTTGGGTGGACACTTAGGCATGGCAATGAAGGTAGTCACGGCAGTCACATTTCTAGTATCGGACGATGCGTGATACGTGTACGGAACCAATTTGCTTGGACGATATGACAAGACATACGAGTCGAACGACACAGAGGTCTTACCACTCGTTATCTGGAAACTTGTTGATCGTATACGAGAACGCACCAAACCCGCACAGCCAAGACAAAGTACCTGGACACCATACCATGACCGTCATGTCGTCCACGAATCATCTTGGACAGATGTTGTTCAATAAGTGTTGACTGTTTCCCCATTCTAGCCATTTATCGCCAGACGTAAACGATTTGCACGAACATCGAGAACAGTTGGAAGACGCATCAATGCTTCATCGTCATTCTTGTGGCAACCATGGGGTACGTGGAAAAGGGGCATTTGCTTTTGGCGCTCCTTTTGCAAACCTATCACAGTGTTGTTCGTGGCTTCTCCTGTATTGTTGTTGATCTCATTACTTGTCACTTCATGAACAGTTTCACAACAAACGCCACTCAATCTGAGACTTTCCTTGCTTCGGTGCAGTCCTTCGTCAAACTCTTCGGCAGAAATGGTAAGTTGTGAGCAATCGACTTCCTCGAGGAAAGCGACACTTGAGACCAGATGTGTAAAAAAGTAACCCGGCTCCGACACTAGCTTTGTGGGATTTCGGTATTCCAAGATAAATGCCACATTGCGCTTGAGTTCACACGGGTTGGCACGCAACACTACAAAGATCAGTGCCGGCAAAAATTCATCTGCCGACGGAAATCTACCGCCATTCTCCGTCTTCAAAAACATCGTCAAGTCTTGACACACACGCAACACGCCATCCATTTTGCGTCGAGGACTCGGACACAGCGTCATGGCTTCGAGTTGTCGTGCCAGAAGGATCCACGTTTGTTCCTGCTCGTGCGACTTTGGCACAGGCAAATCAAGATGCTGAAAAGTAACAAAATCCAGCAACTTGATACGTTCATGGAACGCGTCGTCCTGTTTAGCTGCTTGCACTGACGGGGTGAGCGTCCTGGCATACACTTTTTCCATCAGGAAAGCCTCCAACACTTCGTGCAGCAAGTCCACCCCAGAGGCATCAAAGACATGCAAGTAGTTATGTTGCTGCTGTGTTTCTCCATCATCTGCACCTCCCTGCAGCAATAGTCTTAATTTCTTGCTGTGCTTGATCTGCTCGACGAGTTTGTTGATAAAGTCTTGGATCCTCCTTCCCGGTCGGTCTTGAGTCGTAGTAGCACTCAACATCTGAGGAAGGTCCCACATCTCCATTCTCTTGACAAACGATTGGATACGATACACCAATTCTGCTGCCTCTGGATTCTTCAATAACGCCACAAGTTCCCGAAAACCCACCAAAAACGCCATCTCTCGATCGTGTCCTGTCAATTTCTCCGTCCGTGGACTGTGAGATTGTTGCCATTGATTCAGCAACGACTCTTGCTCACGTATCTCCTGAAAAAGCGTATGGTATCTTCTGACAGGGCTCTGGGTATCATCATCAGCTTCTGTCTCTTCCTCCTTCAGTAACTGCAAATCGTTAACCAGAATTTTGTGCTTGAGTTCTTCAAGACACGTAAAAAAACTAGACAACTCATGGTTAACGCCTTCCAGAGCTTCACGGCAATGGCTAGGGATTGTAGAAACAATTTGTTGATGCGAAAACTCCATAAAACCGACTGGAAGCGTCTTCAATTTGCGTTCATGAACGCCATCGACCCAAGACACGCGATTCGCACGGGCTGCCAGCAACAACTCACTACGCCGTTGCTCCGAGAGAACGTACGAGGGTGCAACTGGTATGGTTGAAAAAGCCGTCGTTTCGGCATATTGGGAAGACCCTTGCGAAGCTTCTGGACGGCTTGTAGCAGAACCTACAGCGAGTTTACCACTATTCCGACCCCAGAACATTGTCTACGTCGTTCGTATGCTGCAATGACCGGTATACCTCTTGATGCTACCGGTATACCTCATACTGTGTGATACCGGTAGAAAAGGTATCACTGGATAAGACGTGACTAAGTCATATTGAAATAATGGCGATTATTGGGAAACTTCTGATTGCGATGGGTACACTGCTACTGGTGCATGCGAGCTACTACTCAGTGCAATGTACGCTCCTTTTCTTCCTCTTTCTAACGCAATCTTTTTCGTGTAGTATAAAGCTTAATTGATGTTGTCCTTTTCATTGACAGACGAGATCTATGCAAAGTCGACCGAGACTTTGGATGCACCGATGCCACCTTTTGAGGTATATTTTTAGCCAATCGATGAATGGAATTGTGTATAATATGTATCTTATTGGTCAATTATTTCATTTTTTGCTTCTCAAGGTGGTTGTTGAGCTCGTGGTGTCCTTCCTCATCTCTTTGGTGGGCGTACTACTCACGTCTGGAGAGATGCTGCCTATCCGATCCAATGACGCGCTGCACTCAAGGTACGTCGATAAAAAGCAGCTGAAAAAAAGCTGAAAATTTGACCCTTCTAGAGTCTAAATGTTGTGTTTTCTGGCTGTATTAATGCTGTTTGCTCTAGATCGCTGGCGACTGTTATTTCCAGTCCAGATTTCCATGTCTTTAATCATCGTGGGAAGACGCTACACAAGCGTGTTATTTCATAAAGAGTAAGCTGTGATGGGGAGGGCTATCATTAAAGAGAATGGAACTGCTGATGCTCTGAGCCCTTGACAGGATGGATACCTTTAGTAATGAGTGTGAAGGTTTGAAGATCGAGCTACTCTAGGGGTGTCTAATTGCTGAGTGCCTTTGCTGCTAGTTGGTGCACTTCTTGTCAGTGTTGTTAGTGTTGACTTATGCGCATGTTATACAGCTTGAGCTTACAACTCAGTCTACCATGTCCTCCATTGAGTTTTGGTAAAATCTATCATGCTCGTGGTCGACCAATCTCCCTGGCATGGAGATCTGGCAATTGTCCCTCTAACTGGAGCAGAAAATTCGATCGTGCCAGCTCACAGCAAGCAACTACGTAGCATAGAGATTGGTCTGGGTAGACCACTAGGACAGTCACTTTAATCCTATAGTGTGCTTTGATTGCGAGGCTTCGACATATTATAAGCCGAAATCATGCTTTGGGTTGGACACTGACAATCACCAAATAGACTGAATAAAGGTAATTGAAATGTTGTTGATAGCTAGCTAATTAGCTCAGTGAACTGTCAATTACTTTCAAATTACCACACTTCGACATTGCAATGGATATGAGTTCTTAAATCTAGCTACCTACCTAGCAAGTATTGGATGCAACAATACAGTTATGATAACAATGTGAGCACAGTTGACGGCACATTTGATCACTGGACGATGAAACGTGTGCTTTTAGTGCTCGCGTTCTTATGGGCAAATCTGATAACATTGCAGCGCACGGAATAAACAGCAAGATGCTTTACCGCTGCAATTCAGTAATATTGCGCAGCCGTATAGGGCTTTCATCTTATATTCAATAAAAAAGAGATGTAAGGAGTTGATCTAGGCTCGTGGGGATGAACGTCCCCTCATACCACTCTCATCAACGTCTAGACGGTGAACAGGCTGAACTCAGAACGAGTCCAACCACCACCAAGCGTTTCTATTCCACGTCTGTAACAGAGCTAACGCTATAGAGAAGAGCAAGTAAACTCCTGACATAGATCGTGGACATCAATCAATAGAAATCGAGCGATACACACAGGCGGGCATTTATGATACTGACACCCTATACTTCTCACCTTGGAAAAAAATGACTGGCGCGCAGCCTCTTTCGTAAAAAAGTAGCGGTATGAAGTCATCCGTCTTCTTACATAAGTATACAGTACTCTCACTACCTCTTCAAGTCGTTATTTAATACTACAGGATAAAGCCTCAAAAAAATTAAGCGATGGTCATGCAAGTCCTACAGCGTCTTGGCACAACCAGGAAAACTTTCTTGCAAAATACTAAGACAACAGCAAGTCTTTTACATAAATATCAATTAATATGGGTCACTGATTTTAGTACTAGTCAATTAAGACCTCTTGGTCTAAAAGAAGGTGTAAAAACGACGTCGGGTATGACGCCTATCATGCAGATGTTGGCGGCCTATGTGGTTGTAGGTATGTCAGCCATGATCGTTGTTGCTCGTTACAAGAGTCGTGATGTTCAAGAGGATGAGGTACGAACGGACGTGTACTGTCTCATATATATCATGGCATGTTGCCTTTTTCACAACGTGACAACAGTGTAACGGTCAACGTTCTCGATAACGTCATCTGTTCTGTTCCATTTTGTTATCAAATTTAGAATGTCCGTATCTATAACATGGCAAAACGTGCAGTCGTGAAAGATCGACGTCTGTTTGAGACTGTAGGGTATCCAAAGGAATTTGAACGGATTAAAAAACTTGATGAGACTGAGTCATCTCTTGAACAGAAAGGGAGTTTCAAAGTCATGGGAGACAAGTACGTAGTATTTCTTTTTTTGAGCTTTGAAGTATCCTGATGTATTGACTGTATGTTTTGCTGGCATGTAGTGGGAGTGTCATGGTACACTACCGACAGAATGTCCATGTAGGCGACGACAAAGACAGCAACATTGTCACGTTTGACGAACTGAGTGTGGAGCGTGAGGATGGAACGCAATTCTCAGCGCTCGAGTCTTTCTTGCAGAACCAAAGCGTCGTTACACACCAGAAATCCGAGTCGCTGGGCAACAAGATGTTCTTTCCAGTGATCGGTGGCGTGTTGATCGGCGGCTTGGCGTCGTTCTTTGCCATTCGTATCCTGCGCAACCGACCATTCTACGTGCACAAATTGGTGCTCGACCATGTAAACAACCACGACATGGCACGCCAACTGATTGGACACCCCATCAAGAGCGACCGCACCAAGTACGTAGGGGTGCTCACGAATGAAGCTGCCAATTATACTATCTCGTGCTCCGGTCCCAAGGGCAACGGCACGCTCATTGTCAAGGCCTTCAAAAAAATAGATCCGGATGAGAAAGCCAAAGACGGACAGGATAAATCTGCTGGAGTCATGACAATTCCAGGTACATCTTGGAAATTCTCGACGCTTGTGCTGTCCGTCAGTCGTAACGAGAAACGCAAAGCAAAGAAAGCTAAGACAATCAATCTTCTAATTAGTGGTGACGTGCCACCTGTATCATCACAACGACCGTAGCTACACTACAACACGAACATGTAAACCGTTGCCAGAGTCTAACACAATCAAACTAGACAGTGAACATACTTTTACACGTGTAGTGAGTAGCACGTCCGTAAAGACAACAACCTACAACTCTTGGCGCAGCCATTACTCGGTAATGATGCAATTTTGCTTCGTGGAACAGTTTCGTTTTGTCAGGCCTCACCACAAAACGGACAAACATATTGATGCCCCAGTCAATCTACAAGCAGATCAAAGTAACCGATGGAGCATGGCACTGGTCCTCAACAACTCGAATGCTAGAAATGTTTGAGAAAAAAATGTTTAAACAAACAATGCAGTTGTCGCATGCATTGTAGATGTCAATTAACCGTAATGCGGAATGCTTGTAGTCTTGATCGAGTATGAAAAGTTGTATATCAAGCCCAACTATTCATATATGAACGGGCTTCAGTCGAGTAAAGGCAGCCTTATACTGCTACAGTAAACTAAATCCATTTAAAAAGCGTTTTGTCTTTTGATGCACATCTGGTGAATCGTCACTGCTATATTGAATCGACAATTGTCAGATCGTCCTTGGTAAAAACCTAGCTTTACCAAAACTGCTGCCAGGTTTACATCCTCAGACTCGTGATGCTTAAATTAGTTTATTCAGTGCACGTAGCAGTTCCCGCACGTTTCCATATAATTTTCATAGCCTTCGACTGGTTCCAGATATATCATCTCACTTAGTTCTGAGTCTCGTAATGTCTTAGCTGCAGTCGTTTCATTTGTCGATGTACGACAATCGCAAGCCACGAGTCGTATTGTGTTATAACGTTATACCGGGCTTTACATTACAGTGTTGTCATCATCATTATAGCGGTACAGTGTAGTCATCATCACTGTAGCGTTGGCTAAATCCTTTAGCAACTACACGTGCTTTGAACTTATCCAGACTGCCATGAGCTTCCGTAATTCACTTGAAACCCATTTTGATGATGGCTGTTCATCCTTTGGGTAGTGGTAACTTTTACACCATTCCCTTCTCAATCAGGCGACTGATCTCCGCAATCCTAGGCTAGCTCCCACTTGTTTTGGTCAGTACTTATTCAAATGATTGGATCCACTCCAAGTGCCGAATTCTCCTTTTGTGTGATGAAATGTGATCGACAGCATTTTTTGACTGCAATACATACACCCTTTTTGATCATTGTGTATTAGTGGCGTTCTAATCGCTGTCTCGCATACGAAAGAATGAATCCATTCCATGCTTGGAAGTCTTGGAATACCCTTTTTGACATTCAAAGATAAATACAGTACGCATTTTTGACACTTGGTGTAACCCGCGTACCCACTAAATAATCCTTTTAAATTTTACTCTACAAAAACTAAAAATTAACCATGAGCTCGACTGACGCCGCTTCAAAGGTACGGCCCTATGGTGACCTAAAAGAGGTCATTAGCACCAAGGACTGCTATTGCTTGAACGAGGACCCAAACAAGCCTTTTCGTAACCTCTTTGTAAGTGACGAGACGTTGCAATTAAAGTCGGATGCCGATGGTACGACATGTCAAAATGGTCAAAATGGTCAAAAACTCAAAATTTATGTCTAAATTGTATTTTTGACAATTTACAATTATCTCGTAGAGCAATTGATGCTCTACATCGAGTTCCAAGACACCGTCAAGCTCTTTTCGCTCAACATCGTGGCTCCTTTGGGCGAAGAGGCTCCTCGTGTCATCAAGCTTTTTGTAAACCGTCCCAATCTCGGCTTCACGGACGCAGGAGACGTCGAGCCGACGCAGACCATTGAGCTCCAAGAAGAAGATTTGTTGCCTGAAAATGACGTCGAGCTGCGTTTTGTCAAGTTCCAGCGCGTCAAAAATGTGACTGTTTTTGTTGACGAAAACAATGGTGCTGACGAGACTGTCATTTCCAGTCTCCAGTTCTTTGGTACCGTACTGCTCAAGTTGAAGTTGTTTTTGACATTTTTGACATTTTTGACATGCTGGGCGTACGTAGGCGAGCCTTTGGCGGGTACCAACATGAACGATTTCAAAAAGATTAGCGACGAGTAAAAAAGGTTGTTTGAAGCTGTGTCACGCCCAAACGATCCACAATCAAAAGTCGAGGCAGATTGAGTCCGGGTACTATACACTTTACACGTTGAGGAGGTAGGTCACTGGCAAGCACATTGCTTTGTTGCCATCTATGCAAGTCAAAGGATAATCTGGAGCTTCTTCTTAATGGTGGGAGGCTGGGAGCAAGCTGTGCTTATTGCGAGGCAAACCTCGTTGTTTGTATGAATTCTGCTGGTCGTTTCCAGTGTTGATCAATACCTACTCTAGCGAGTTGTAAACTGTGGCGGTTATACGCGTTCGTTACCAAGTGATGCCGACCTTGTGCGACCTTCTCTAGCAGTCCATTGGTTTTCTAATGCCTGCTCATGATGCTTGCACAAGAAGTCGTATAGCACTTCTCCACATCTTGATCGTCGTTTGGCTGAGACGATTTAGCACTTCAAACTCAGGTCTTGTTTGTCACACAAAACAAGACTGCTTGTCGATGAGATGATGCTCCTCAGCTATATGCATTGCTGTAGTGAGCAATATGACCATGAAACATGCAAAAAAGATCACCAGCTCAGCATCGCTCGTCAAGACAAAGTTCGAATTTACGCTGTGGGTACGCATGCAACAATGAGCAATGATCAAGTGCCCTTTACGTCTGTGTGGTGTAAGACCCTCAGTGCTCAATAGGCATGACTTCGTGTATACATTCAGCTGCATATGTGTGACCTGGAAACTATATACTCGACAAAGTTGCTGCAATTGTTCAAGCATGGCGCCTCGATTATTTTTCAGCAGCCTTTTAGACAACGTAGCACCTCAACCCGAAACTTTCTTTCGCCATGACGAATGCACTAATGTCAACCAAACAATCCGACCAAAGACAAGCTTTCGATTGAAAAATTGGCTCAGCTGCAACTGATCACTCGACTTTCGGATGCACTTCAACTTGGCGGTAGACGTAACTGACCACCTCGTCCCAAGGAAGTAACGGATGCCAAAAAGAGACGAGAAGCCGACAAAAAAGTCCATGATAGACATTTTCTTCGCAAACTTTCGATGGAGCTATTATTCCTGACTTTAAACGCTCGTCGCATCGAAGATCAACAAGCCATTGAACGAATTATGGCGTCTCGAGACAAGGGGTGGCTGATGGGTCTTGGTTTTAAGGGACCTCGCACCCCTCACTTGTCACGCAGCACCAAATATGACGAAAACGACGCAAAGCAAGTAGACCCGAATAGTGAGATGGCAGCGCTTGAGGAGAAGATGGTGGGTATGGCCATTAATACTCGAATGGAGAATGAGCGGCCAACTTCGCTCACTATGCGGCTTATTCGAGCGAATGTTGCTTTATCCAAGAATACCAAGCGTCGAGCTCGAGCTCGATCATCAGAAGCGGAAGATACCAAGATTGATGCAATGCTGCGCAAGAAAGTGTTGCGGATCGACTGGCTGGATATCGGCAAGATTGAAAATCTCGACGCGTTCACACACGTGGAAGAACTGTATCTTCAGTATAATTTGATTGAGACGATTGAAGGTTTAGACGACCATGCACAGCTCACGTTCCTTGCACTCGCTGGCAACCGAATCCGTGAAGTCAAGAACCTCAAGAACTTAAGTAATGTACGTCATTGACTTCGTTACGTGGTCAGCGAGGTCTTGTTGCTGACTTTGTTGTGCTTCAGCTCAAGTTTTTGGATTTGTCGATGAATTACATCGACAAGTTTGACGTAAGCGAGTTCCCGCAATCTCTTTGCGTGTTGCGTGTCGCCGGAAATCCCTTTGTCGAGACTACACCAGCCTACGCACATTTCGCATTCGAGAAATTGCCGAATCTCGTAGAGGTTGATCAGTTTCGACGACCCTCTTCAATATTTGCACCAAAAACCACGCCTCTGTCTGCACAGTTGTCAAAAACTGTAAGTGAGACTTCAGCTTTAGATATTCGAGCAGCGGTATTGCCGATACCTCGTTCGTCAATGGACCAATACCGCGCATTGCAGGTCGAAGTGGAGCTACCTCACTCTGAACAGGATCTCCTAGAAAAACAAGAAGCAGAGCATACGGCGGTCTTTAATCGTATCGATTGCGAAAAAAAGCGTAACAAACGGGTGCCGAAGTGGAAGGTGCAGCTGACAGCAATAGCGTCTACGAACACAAGAACAATTAGCAGAGCGTGGGGAATGGATCCAGACTGGGACGAATAACGAATTCCGCAAGCCTCGCACTGTCACAAGCTCAACGAGCCACAGATGTAGCTCTCTTTGAAGCTATAAGTAGAGGCGTATCGTGCAGAAGAAAAAAACGAGGCAAAGCGTCCGAGGACGGACTAACCTTTGAGAACGTGTCTTGTTAAAGAATGAAGCCAAGACATTCATGGCCTTCCAATCTTGTGAATTATACGTTGGTATCTCTTAACGTCGAGCAAGGAGCAAGAACTTAGAATTGCCATGACTAGCACTTAAAGCTGAATGGCAAAGCTCGTATCGCATGGCGCTGCCTGGGGGACGTACCCTGCTAACGTCCGTAGATGCAGCATAAATTCTTGAAGCGTTAAATTTCGTGCATTCTGTACATGGACACTCTTGGAAATGACAAAGGGTGCTGCTTTGTTCGCGTCAGCACACGCTGCGATGTCCGTTTGATGAGGACTAACCACCACGAGTCCGAACTTGCCTGTTATCGGGTCAAAAAGCTTCTGCGGTGCTCCACCAAAGAGCCGGTCACGACACAAACTTTGTAGTAAGTTGACTCGCCATGCAGCTTTCTCAGCTGCCCTCTGGAATCGGTTGGGAGCCCCAACGACGTGCACACTGGTCATGACCGTAGAGCTACTGAGACAATAGGCCAGTCTCGGAAAGAATGCTCTGCATGTGGCTTCGACAAATTGCACGCTTTCCTCACTCATGATAAATAGCGGGCCATGGATTTGATACTGAAGTAAGGAGATGGATAAGTTCTTGCTCGACTGTAGCAAGTGCTGCCTGTAGGTGCGGAGTGCGCAGAATTTGCTGTTTTGCAGTTTGAAGAGCTGCTAGTGATGACTTGAGACCTAAATGTTGGCGCATCCATTTTGTTGGCACGAGGACGTTCTCCCAGCACATGACAAAGGCATTACACAGACTGTTGGTAGATTGCTTAATAGCTGGATACTCGTAAAGGTCATTGGAATAGGCGGATACGTCCATTGAGAAAGACGACACCATTGATTGGGACATTACAGTATTGTTTATTGCTGAGTATCGACAATCAGTTTTGTTATTGTCGGCAAGAAGAAAATGTAATACATCAGGCTTCATACTCAATGGAAAAGTCTCACTTGACACGTTAAAGACAACTTGAAGAATGAAGAGACTTGGATACATGTTTCGTGACTTGATAAATTTCTCTTTTAGACGGATTGGGATTGGTCACATTAAGTGAAGTTTACGCTCTCGGAGTGGTTAAAAAGTAGGCTGCTATGACGGATCGCCGGATCTTTTACGTCTTGGTGACGTCAAGTGTGCGCAGCGCCTTAAGGGATCTGATAGGGTTTCCAACATATCTGGTACTTGTATTAAGGGTACCCATTATGGTTGGAAAACCTTTCAAATCACATATGTCAACATATGCTTGATACCGTAATTTACGACTATAGAAACCGCAACTCAGATCTTTTTGTAGTCAGGTCTTTTAAAACACTCGTGGAAGTTGCTTTAATTCTTACACGCACCTTTAGGGCAACATACGATCCCTGCCTTCAAGCATCTCTCCCTCTTTCTTCCTTACAAACATGGAGTGGCTGGATATTGTCAAAGACCTAAACGCTGGTACTATCGGTGGTGTAGCAGGCATTGCAGCTGGACATCCACTAGACACTGTCAAAGTACAGTTACAGACCAGTCGTGAAGCGGGTGCAGGGGTTTTACATACATTGCAACGTGTCGTAAGCTCCGAAGGAACTGCAGGACTTTATAGGGGTCTACTGTCCCCGATTCTAAGCAATGCACCAATCAACGCTGTGGTGTTTGGTGTACAAGGACAAGTGGTACGCCAACTTCAATCAAATAATGACAAAAAGTGCCTATCTAGTAGTCAGCACTTTTTCGCGGGATCGAGTGCAGGATTCGTACAAGTGATTTTTGCAGCACCATCAGAACATGTAAAAATCCAGTTACAAACAGGAGCTATAAGGAACGAAACCAATTCATTAGTTGCAGCTAAGACAATTGTGAAACAGTATGGAGCAAGGACGTTGTTTAAGGGATGGCAAGTCTGTCTTTTAAGGGACGTACCGGCATTTGGAGCATACTTTTGTGGCTACGAAGCCACGAAACGAGCATTGACAAAGGGACAGAATGAAAATGAGACGGATCTGAAGTTAATGATGGCGGGAGGCATTGCAGGGATGTTTTCGTGGATTGTGAGCATGCCACAAGATGTGGTTAAAAGCTGCGTGCAGAGTCAGAGTCTTGACGGTAAACAGTTGAGTATGATGGAGATGGCCAGGACCAGGATGCAACAGGAAGGACCAAGATTCTTCTTCAAAGGCTTCAGTGCTACTATGCTTCGAGCTTTCCCTGTTAGTGCAGTGACGTTCCTTGTCTATGAGAAGACTATGCAGTTCATGTCCTGAGTCGTGGGCACGTTAAGAACGCCTAAGACTACTTTCATGGACGGTGACTTGAAAGATTATGTCCGTACTGGTAGGTTGGTGTATGTTTGCCTTGAGAGAGATATAACTACATGTACTTTGAAGATAATAGACCATAAATTGTATAATGGTGATGTGTATCTCTGTCATTCGTTGTGTAACGGGTTCCGCTTAAGAAAGAGTTTAAGAAAATTGCAGAACGCGACAATGTCTTACGCGCAAAATTTGGTTTGTTGTACGCTTCATGGGTACTTCTTTTTAACTCGTATCGAGCTACCGTCGCATTCGTTTAACACTTTGCTTAAGCTCGACTGTAAGTTCTTTTTTAAGCTCGAGCTACGTCACGTTAGGTTGACGCTTTGGCTTATGCTCGACAACATTTAGCCCGTCTTTTGCTTCTTCGACACCTGCTCCTCCTGCTCATTGGGAGCCCGACCAAACACTTCGTTTAGCTGCTGCGAAACACGGATGAATGTGGTGCGCTACAGATCACAACAGTCGTTAGACACATTAAAGGTGTAAGCATGATGACACGAAAGAGTTCGGCCGTACCTTGCTAATTTCCTTCAGCTTGCTCGCTCCAACGTAGGTGCATGTGGAGCGCACACCGCCCAAGATCTCTTTACATGTTGCAGCAACTGGACCTCGATACGGCACCGTCACGCTCTTGCCTTCCGAGGAACGATACTCTGCCACCCCGCCGCTGTGCTTCTTCATGGCCTCAGATGAGCTCATTCCGTAAAACTTTTTGACTTCCTTGCCGTCAAGCTCAATTTTATCGCCACCGCTCTCGTCGTGGCCAGCGAGCATGCCACCAAGCATGACAAAGTCTGCTCCAGCACCAAACGCCTTAGCTACGTCACCCGGACACGTACAGCCACCGTCAGCGATCACGTGACCATTAAGACCGTGAGCAGAATCCGCGCATTCCAGCACTGCAGACAGCTGCGGGTAGCCTACACCCGTCTGTTTGCGGGTGGTGCACACGGAGCCCGGACCAATGCCCACCTTGACAATATCAGCTCCCGACAGCAGCAATTCCTCGACCATCTCCCCAGTAACCACATTTCCGGCAATGATCGTGTGGTCAGGGAAAGCAGAGCGCACACTGCGAACAGCCTGCACAAAGAATTCCGAGTACCCGTTTGCCACATCGAGACAAATGAAGCGGATATCCTGATGATTTTTTAGAATAACCGAAATCTTGTCAATATCTGCAGCGCTTGATCCAGCACTCACAGCAACAGTAGGAAGCACGTCCGGGTACGTCGTAGCAAAGGTCGCCCATTCTGATGGCGTATAATGCTTGTGCACGCACGTGATAAATTGAAATTTAGCCAGTGCTACAGCCATCTCAAAAGTTCCGACAGTGTCCATATTAGCAGCGATTACGGGCTACAGCAATGAGGTGCAAAGGGGGTCCATTCAGACAAACGAGAAGAGAAAAATGACAAACGAATGAGATGATTAAACGTACCACACCGGTCCATGAACGCTTTGAGTTACGGAAGTGAAACTCACGCTGGACGTCCACCTGAGAGCGGCTTTTAAGTGTCGATCGTTTGGGCCGAATAAGCACATCTTTAAAGTCCAGACGGACTTCAGTCTCGATACGCGGCATTCGAAGCTTGGAAGGTGAGCAAAAATTAAGGAATCATCGTGGGTTCGTATTTAAGTGAAGACACAATCTTAAAAATCAGGCATATGAAGTGTGTTATACTGTAAGTTCATCTTTAAACACATTCATTATCGTATAGACATGCAGCACCTGTCTAAATAAATATTTGAGGACGCCAATGCTTTATAACGTTTAACATTTTATTACTTAATATAGGTATAAAATAATACCTAGCTGCTGCGTCGAATTGAGCTATCACAATTAAATTACAAAGTTTATTATTTACGGAGGATTAGTTTAGACAGGTTCTACTGTATTTTAGTGAAAAGTGTCTAAACCGTTTACGATCAACCCTCAATCACTTAAAAGAGACTGACTGTACCTCCTCATGCTTTGCGTTGCCACCACGATATAGAGACTGACTGTACCTCCTCATGCTTTGCGTTGCCACCACGATATTGTCTGTTCTTGGGGAAACGACTTCTTACGGTTAGAGCCCTTTTTTCTTCATGCAATTAGGCACAGTTTGTTCTATTTAGTTAAGTGCGTACCGACCAGGACGGTTCATTGGATGAAGGAGTGCTGGCGCTGGAAAAGACAATTAGAAAGAAGCTGCATAGCCAAGTATGGTAGTATCTGACGAGAGGGCGTATGCAATATGCAGCATGCAGGCCCTATCGTCCGTCAATATGACAGCATACAGCATACAAAAGCCAGAGCCAATAAACTGCAGATGAGTTACACATCACGCAGCCCTGCCCGTCGATACACCATATTCTTGGGGGCCGTCGCATCAATCAGGAGACGTGTCCCATCTAACCATGTTACCGGCTCTACAATCACGCGAACCGCTCGGTTAAATTTATACTGCTTCAACTATGATCGATGCAGTAGACGATCCCCTGCTTCTTGCGATCCTTATAGCCAGAGAACTGGCTATACTATGCCCTTTTCCTGTGATCCTGGCACTATACGTCGGCTAGGAAACAGGGGATTACTGGCTATAATCCCCTGTTTCCTAGCCGACGAGCGATTAGGTGCAGAATGCTGCCCTCCTGTACCATCATTATCAATTTTCACTCGGGAGCGCAGAAGCAAACGAAGAAAAAATAATGCGCCTCGATTCCATCTTTTTCGTGGCTGTTCTCTTTGCTTGTTTCAACCTCTCATCGATATCGGTGGTATCTATAACGTTTAAAGCTCCTGCTCACGAGTTCGACGTGGAGGCGGCAAAAGAAGAAAGGACCTCTAGCATACCTGTCTTCGACACAGTCATTAAAAAGATCAAGTCAATGACGTCCAGCCGTATGGAGGAAATGGTAGATGTAAATAATGTGGTAGAAGTCTATAAGACCTTACAGCGGCACAAGGGCATCCTGTCTCACAACGAACGCTATAATGCCGGGATCAGGTATCTAGAAAGGACTTCTTCAGACACCTTAAAAGCGGAACTAGAGTCGTTAGGAAATGACGGAGAAGAAATTTTTCTGAAGGTGCTAATAACCTTCATGAAAGAGAATGCCGATGAAAGCATTCAGAACAAATTGAAGACTACGCTGCTAACTTTTTGGGATGACAAGGACAGGTCTGTGCATGACGTCTTCAAGCTGTTGAAGCTGGACCATAAAACTAATGACGAAGTTTACTCAAACTTGCTTAAAATGTGGGTCGAGTATCCGAGAAGTAGTGACGTTGAGATGAGATCAGTAATGGCTGATTACAATGACAAGACTCGTCTGAAAATCCTTAAGGGATTGAGTGAAATTGAGGGCACTGAAGAGGTTGTGAAGCAACTACAGGATAATCTGGTGGCTCTTTGGAAAATTGAAAAACCATCTGCAAAGAATCTCTTTGCTAAGTTGGAACTTGACAAAGCTGGTAGCGAAGTGTACTTTGACATGTGGGTTAAGTATGTGGTACAGGAATGTGATAAGCTTCATGTTTCGAAATCAGTAATAAATAAGCTGTCAAGACGTCACGGTGATGAAGGCCTTCTGAAGATGTTTAACGCTTTGGCACAGGCTGAAGTTGGGAAGAACATACAAGGCAAATTGACGTCTGCGCTAATAACCTCTTGGAAAAACCAAGAAAAGTCTACGCGTGACGTATATGAGCTGTTGGAGCTTAATGTGAAATCTGAAACCAATGAACCGATTAACGTCAAACTGTTTAGTATGTGGGTCCAGTATGCGGTGCATATGCAGGACACGGATATTGGAGCGGTGATAAATCGTTGCAATCTCGACTTTCGTGTGGCCATTCTTGGCGATTTGAAACAGATTAAGGGCATGAATGTGTTGCAATCTCGCTTTATTGCAGTCTCTCTAGCGTCCAGCTATGCTAGATATAGAGATATATCTCTTGACACTCAAAGATATATATTACTTCGTTTAGCTCTTTCTGGCTACTGACGACTTGCCTTGCACTTTGCACTTTTCTGACTGAGCTTTCGAGCTTTCATGTATGCGGCTGCAGCTAACCTGCGAGCCGCCACCTTGTCACCAACGTTTGTCGACTCGTCCAGTTGTCGACTCGTCCAGTTGTCGACTCGTCCCATTCTGATCTCCGCCGTTTCCCTTCTCCATTGTTTCCACGTTTCACCATCGGAATCGGTATACGGACGTGAAATGTGTAAACGGACGTGAAATGTTCCAACGACTTCAACTTGGGAGGAACATATCACAACACGCCCCCTCCGACGCTTGTGTCGGAACATCTTTACTCTTGTGAAATCCTCATGCCAATGTCGGCTCGATACTTCGCTAGGCTGCGCTTCGGTAGAGCCTTTGTGAACATATCAGCAGGATTCTCTGTTCCGGACACTTTCTTTACCAAAATATGCCCAGCCTTAATTTGTTCGCGCACATAATGCCATCTTAGCTCAATGTGTCTTGTTTTGCTGCTATGTGTGGGTTTGCATGCCAACGAAATAGCTGCCGCATTGTCAATGCCCATCGTTAGTACAGCATGTGCCTGTATACAGTGTAAAATCTCATTGAGCATATTTGCAATTCCGCGACCCTCCATGGACGCTTCGCATGCTGCCACATATTCGGCTTCTGCGGTTGATTGTGCGACTATTGTTTGACGTCTGGCAGCCCATGCGACAGCTCCAGATTCCATCATAAGCACAAATCCGGTGACACTTTTTCTTGAGTCGGGATCGTTGCCCCAATCAGCATCACAATATCCAGTAATGACAACATCTTCGTTTGCTCCCATATCTCGTGTGTATCTTATGCCGGTTTGTAGTGTACCAGATAGGTATCGCAATACTCGCTTGACGGCTCCGCAGTGTTTTCGCGATGGGTTGCTCACAAAACGGCTCAAGTAGCCCACAGCATACGCAATATCTGGCCTTGTAGTAGTCGCCAAGTACATCAACGATCCAATAGTTCCTCGATAATCAAAATCAGTGTCTTCAGCTGGTTCAATGCACTTACTGTATCTAGTGTTGGTCTCCATAGGAGTTGCACTACCGTGTGCTTCTCCAAAGCCAACTTTCTCGAGGACTTCCTTGCAATATTTCGTTTGGTGAATATACGTGTCCGTCTCATCTTGCTCGACATTGATGCCTAAAAAATAGTGCAGCTTTCCTCCATCTTTAAAACCATATTTCGCGTCGATGGCTTCAAAAAACGATGCCTTATATGCCTTAGAATCAGTCGCTAATACCACATCGTCGACGTATAACATGAGAAGAGCCAGTACTGCATGTTTGCAGTAGAAGTAAAGACAAGGCTCAGTCTCACTACGTTTGAACTCTTGAGTGACCAACCAGTTATCAATCTAGTTTCTTCCGAGATGGGTTGTTCGCTCGATGGACATAAGCGAGAGATCCAAACTTCTTTATACCATGTAGGTTTGGCTTCTTGTTCATCATCATTCTGTATGGAGTCTCTTTGATTGACCGACAGTATGCCCTATTTCTCAGGTACGTAGCCATCTCAAGCGCATGCATCCAAAACGATTTTGGTAGCTTTGCGGACGCCATCATTGCCTTCATCATGTGAATTAGGGTTTGGTGTGCTCTCTCACACAGGTTCAAGTGTGATCCATGAGGTGGGTTTGGTAAGAACTCAATGCCAACATTCCTGTACCAACGGGTAATCTCCCCATTTACAAATTCCCCTCCGCCGTCAGATATCACTTGCTTGACCTTATTTGCGGGAAATTGACGCTCTGCCCAGAAAATGTATCGTTTGATGGCTGTATTTACTTCCGATGCGTTCTTTGAGTAAAGTGGGTACACCGTAGTATACCGGGAGTATCCATCTACTACAACAAGTACCGCCTTATACGCTCTTGGGCTTGAGCTGTACTTCGGAAAAAGTAAATCTACAAATATCACTTGATTCTTCGTCGTTATATCACGCATCAAATGCTTATGACGTGTACGTTGTCGGTCTTTACCAATGTGGCATGCTTCGCAATCAATAAATTGTTTTGGGCTTAGTGACATTCCGTCTACTAGCTTGCGATCTGCCATGAGCTTCACGTACTGTGGATTAAGATGGCCCAGCCTTTCGTGCCACCGTTGGATATCAGCGTGCCCTTGTGCGCGCGTATGATTTACCTGAGGACGGAAGCACTTATCTGTGATCAGCAGTTCACCCCTGTCACTCGTTTGTGATAGAAAATCATTGATGGCATTAAATGTGAAAAGACCACAGTCATCTCTTTTGATGTTCAGCAGCTTCCGATTATGCTGCCAAAGCTCGTAGAATCTTTCTCCCTCTCGGATGCAATACTTCACAGTATGTCCTTGGTCCTCGACTTGTGTGTGAGAAATTAAATTCATACAGTCAGGAACGTATAATACGTCATAAAGTGTTATCATGTTGCTGCTTGATCCGTTTTGAACAAGTATCTGAACGGTTCCCTGGCCAATCGGCTTTGTTTTAAAGTGCTTCTGAAATCCTCGGATACATTGAGCTTGTGCATTGTTATCAAATGCGCTATAATCAATAAAGTATCGTAAATCAGAAGCCACGTGTACATTCGACGCATTGTCAAGACACCATTGGCGTTGTGTGCAGTTTCTGTCTGGAGTATTTTCCCTCGTTGACAGCTTGTTCTGTGCCATCACCATCAGTTCATCCGGCTTTTCTTGACATCCATCCGCAAGCTCATTCTTCGGATGCTGTGCAAATGCCACCTGATAATCACTCGTTTTTGGTTTCTTCATTATAGGACAGTCTCTCATGCGGTCTCCAGGCTTATGACAATTAAAGCAGTTTCCATGCTGCTTATCCGCCTGTGAAGTCGTGCTTTGGAGTACTTTGTCGGCACCTATTAACTTTCTGGTTCCGATATGTGATCTTGCACAGCTAGCGTTTTGCCGGTTCTTGGATGTTTGACTGCCTCCATTGTCCTGCACATTTCCAATGACACCATGGGCACCAAGCTCCCGATCACACTTGTTAAAACTATCCATTCGCAAAATCTGATCTTTCAATTTTTCCGAAGTATCCACCTTGTCGTCCCCGCTTTAACCATGCCTCTCAGACGATCAAAGCGCGCATTCGCCGGCAACGATCGAATTAACATCTGCGTAAAGATCGGGTCCCGAATACCTGCGTTCACAGCGACCAATTGATCTTTAATCATGAACATGTTTTCCACGTGTTGCGCAACGTCCCAATTAGGTTTGCACTTCATCGCGTTTAACTTGTTGTAAAGAATAATTTCTTGGTTTGGTCTCGTTGCAGCATTAGTCTTTCCCTCGTAAAAGTCTTCCAAGTATTTCCACATCTCGGTGCCAGTTGCTTTCGTCATCACACGCTGCCCCAACTCCATTGATAGGGAAGCAAGAATAAGCTGCTTGATTGTTACTTGTGCCTCTCGAAACGCTTTCACTTCGTTTGAACTTGCGTTACCTACGAGAATCTTGTTTCCCGTAGCATAATCCAGCACATCCTTTTCCTCAAAGGTCAGTTTCATCATCCCTTTGTAGTACGCCCAGGATTGCCCATGCCATCCTACGGGTCGTCCATATTTGTTCAGCTCTACCTTGTTTGACATGTTGTGCCAGCTTTTAGGTAAGTTTACGTTTGTCCTTCCTGACAAACGGAGTCTTTCTTCGCACTCAAATACTTACAGCCTTAGCCTGTAAATGCGTCGCCGTTTCTTGGTTATGCTTAAGCCTTGCTCAGGCTTGGGCTCATAACCCTGTTGCAATCTCGCTTTATTGCAGTCTCTCTAGCGTCCAGCTATGCTAGATATAGAGATATATCTCTTGACACTCAAAGATATATATTACTTCGTTTAGCTCTTTCTGGCTACTGACGACTTGCCTTGCACTTTGCACTTTTCTGACTGAGCTTTCGAGCTTTCATGTATGCGGCTGCAGCTAACCTGCGAGCCGCCACCTTGTCACCAACGTTTGTCGACTCGTCCAGTTGTCGACTCGTCCAGTTGTCGACTCGTCCCATTCTGATCTCCGCCGTTTCCCTTCTCCATTGTTTCCACGTTTCACCATCGGAATCGGTAAACGGACGTGAAATGTGTAAACGGACGTGAAATGTTCCAACGACTTCAACTTGGGAGGAACATATCACAACAGAATGGAGTTGTGCAACTCTTACAGAATTCACTATTAGAGCATTTTCTGAATTTTGAAGGCTCGTATCAAGATCAGGTCGTTCAAGTATTCAGGGATTTAAACCTTCAGAATGACCTTCTTCGCAACCCGAACCTGGACCTTTTTTATAGCTTTACGGAAAAGCTCGATCGTGGAAAGACAAAGGAAGAGTGGTTGATCACAGCAGCCAGAGCTGCTTGTGGAGATATGGTTTTAAACAAAATCCTTGAAGCCGCGAAGAAAAACGATCGAACGGCCAAACTCTTGCGTCGGGAGCTGGATAAACCGAAAAGTCTTGAAAACGATAATGCTATTAACGCTTATTTGGAAGGGCAACTTCAGTCGACTCAGGAAGGGAAGTTGACGCAGGAACTTGCGTTGCGTCAGAAGTCTGCCGCTGACCAGTTGGCTCTCCAACATGTGTAAGGAAGTTAGCTGTCACACGCCTCGACAAGCTGTTTATAGCTTTAAACTCGTCACTAATACACATCGTTTCTTTTAGCGTCTGAATACGGCACAACTTACAGCGGAATATTAATCTTAACGATGATAGAAATCAAGATGAAAGGGTTGCCATTGTCTTCTTTAGGTCGGCATTCATTTACAATATATACTTTTCCTGCTTATCGCGTGTTAATGCAGGCTTCCTGTGTATATGACCTTTTGTTTTGGCTGGATCAAACGCTCAGGAAATAGCTCTAGTTCATTTGATTCGTACTAGCTTCTTGCTTATACCTGCGTATGAGGACATCTTGTCAAGCGTGGTTGTCAGTTCCCGAAGGAACGAAACCAAGACTCCAGAAGACATATGTATATGTTGAAGGACATGATTACGGAAGAAGTATGTAATGTTGTGCCGATGGCTGAAAGGGTCACTACGATACCTTTGCATACATTCACATTTCAATTGCCACGTGTGTCGCTCACATGTAAGTCCAACTAAAAGCATCAGTGACTCCGTTTCTATATTGACATACACATTGATGGTTCCGTTCTCCTAGAGCTGATTTTGCTCGCTGGATCACGAGGGACACTTGAAGAGAAGTTAAATAGGGATGACAAGGTCGTTTGCAATGGACAGATTGCACAACATGGAGACGTAAAGTGACCGGCATCCAACTATCGACCAGTAAGATTCATTAAGCTAAAGTGTAAAGGTCCTACCGTCCTCAACTGTAGCTCACTATCGGCCTGTAACAACAAGAAAATAACACTTTATCAGCAAAGCTACTTTCATGCCATCTCTTTTCTATTGACACTGTGCTCACTTGTCCAGTAAACACTGACGTTCGTCCAATGTGGAGCTGCGGAGATCGTAATTCGTTCGTGTATCCTTCTTCGTCTCTTTGTAATAAACCATGGATGACACGAGAAAGAGCGTTCCATACAAACATGCCGATTCAAAGATTGGGGTAGGACTCTTTACACTTTTGTGAATCTTCATGTATTTCGGCTGCACTTGCACAAGAATTCCCACTAGAAATAAAAAGAGGAATCCACAAAGTGACACCATCGAGCACGTCAACGCCCCTATCAAGAGCAAGAAAAATTAGATTCATTGACGAAAAATATTTTAGCTTTAGAATTTATGTCTTACATGAAACTTTAGACATTTTAGAGACTTTGGATACGAAGAGCTGGAATAGATCTGAGCTTCGAGCGACATCTCGATTTGCAAGCTCGTGATCTTGATTAGTAGAAATTATTGTATCATTTAAAAATGGGAAATAGAAATAAGTGCGAAACGTTAAGTTATTTCAACAATCACGTACCGTAGTGGACATTACGCAATCGCCTGACTCTTACGAAATAAGCATGTACGACTTTTGCCTTACGATTCCGGTACGTATTTTCAAGCCATTTCGACCATACCCCCCCCCCCCTACCTAAACTTATATTATCTCTTGATATTTGTATGTCAATAATGAATTAGTATGGAATCGTGCTAGGTCTAGGAGGTCTAGCAGGTTTTGTGAGTTCTGGCAGTACCATGTCACTAGTAGCTGGTGGTCTCTCGGGTGCCTTCCTGAGCTTTGTGGGTTACTGCAGCTATAACGAGTACACGCAAAGCCCAGTGACATCGAAACTCTGGCCTGCCGTCTCGTTGGCTGTCTCTGCGCCGCTCACTGTCATTATGGGCAACCGTTACAACAAGACGAACGAGTTCTTTCCTTCCGGTTTCACGGCTGTATACAGTGGTGGCATGACCATTTTCTATCTGTGGATACTGACTAAACAAAACAAGCCTCAGTACAAGAAGACACAATAAAGAGGACGACTACTCGTTGGTTCTCTAAATCCCAGTCAATACAAACTGCTGACCCAGTGGTAGCTTTTACCTACCTGGTTTGTATATTGTTTAGTTCTTGACAACCTGTAGTTGTACGCTTCATTGAAAGCGATAGAGTAAAAATTCGACTGTCTACTGGAAATCATAACATTTAATTTTGTCCAAGTCGACTGTCGTTCGAGACGGTTAAAGCTGTCGAAAGCAGAAGGTGTGAATGTATTAGCTGTTATTGTCCATGACGATGTCAGTAGTTGCTTGAATAGCTTCGTGTTGCTGTGCGAACGACACGAGATCGCGCATGGCGTTTGCAAGCCACTCTCGGTGTAGTGAGCTGGCAACCTGCAGATTAAGTGAGCGAGTAGGCGTCACGAAAGACAAGCATGACTCAGGATCAGCTAATACGGCAACGGTCTTTTTGTTTTCGCGACCAAATGTTTCTGCACCACTGGACACCCTTGAACTGTCAGATCCCTCAATGACTTGTATTTCGTCAACCGCAAGATATTCAGTGCTCCATTCGCCGTGTTTGCGTCTCCAACGCAGTTGAAGTGGAAAAGTTGGGTCGTACAGCAGGCGCGAGGTATGGGGTCGACCGCGGCGACCAGATTTAGTCATTTTGGTGTCGTTTACAACACTCGTCGCTAGTGTCAACGTTACCTTCAGTCGATGTTTCCGAGCTATAAGTGCATGATGCTTTTTCGCTCGTGAACTGATATCGCTCTGCACTTGCTCACCTAGAGCGTTCAGCTGAGGATACAGTTCCTTTTTGGACAACTCCTTCGCTGTGTACTTGGATAGCAGCGCACGTAAATGTGCTTTTGCCCATGGAAGTTCGTACATCATCAATTTGATGTAGCGCAGCTGTCTCAGCATGATGTCGTGTTGCGCTGGTCCAAGCTCCATGTAGTTGGTCGCGTTCATGAAAGGTACGCAAACGCAGCGATCGTTCCAGTGCCACATCACAAAGTGAACAGGTTTTTTGACGATCACTAGTTCTGGGACACCATCACTCATGCGCTCACGGACACGCAGCAATATTTGATTTTGTGTCGTCGGCACAGGAGAAGGTGATGATGACGCGGATGATGATCTCGGTGGTCCAGACGTAGATTTATTCGGCGAAGCTATTACTTTTTTCTTGCTGCTGGAGCCTAAGATCTGTTGCTTCGTGACAGAAAATATGCTACTGTTGCGACGACTGAGTGGCATGCTGGAAGCAATGATGTGGCATGCGCTTGTCGATTTACGACGAACTGTCCAAAGGTTCGTGGCGGATTTTGTGACATGTGACAAAGCTGATGCTCCAGCCACCTCAGGTGTAGCAATGTTTGCTACATGTGCCGAACCGAATCCGCCAAAACTCTTTAACGAATTCCGCTTCATGGAGAACGAATTTCGTCGTAGTGGCACAGCCACAATAATCTTCGAATTTGTGCTCAACCGCCGATAAGTGTTGAGCAACGCTGGATTCAGAGCCGATTCTGCGCTAGCTTCGTCATCATCCAGAAGCTGCAACACCTCTTTCTCAGAAAATCGAAATCGGTACCGGAAGTTTTCTCCTGCAGCCTTTGCGTGAATGTTGTCGGGGTTACATGTTTTTGCATTGCCGAATTCACTGCCACTATATCCTTCGTCCCTCCCGCGCGGAAGCTGAGGAACACGAATACCCTTGACAGTCATATTAGCGGTCATGATCGGATGCACACGCAAACGGGATGTTGTGGCAGTACTCAGTTTTGCCTGTTTCACTAGCTCATCCAAATTCTCGGTCTCGGGTTTACTCGAATCCCGATCCTCGACGTGTTTTGTAGTGTCAACTTCGTCTTGGTTTGATATCCCATGAGCACGTTCATCCGTAATTCTGCATTCAATATTATCGTCTCCGCCGGAGCAATAAATCGCAAGTTCTTCCATCCTGCTGCACAACTCGGTCTCATCACCAATTTCCTGTTGCTGAGGTCTGTTCTCGTCGACACGACCAGCGGATCCGACAGGCTCACTAACTTCATGTTGGACGTCACATGGAGGACGATAGTTTTGATCATCCGTCTCCGGATGCTCATGCTTCACATCTCTTGCCACATATTGCTGCACAAGAAACATCAACTGATGAACCTGTGGGCTGAGTGAACCGTTTTCGTTTTGGTATGATCCACGCTTTATCGCCATCTTCGGTAGCGATGACAACGCAATGAAGGTATCATTGTCGCTTTCAAGTCCGTCGCAATCATCAGCAGGTATCGGTTCCCGCGATTTGTCTGACGAAGATGAAGAGGTCTGTCCGCATTTGTACGTAAAAGTAGAAGGTGACGTGCTGACAGTGTTTCGTGCCATGTCGAACGAGTGCAAAGGACAAGTAAGGCAAAAGAATCAACAATTATAGCGACAATTGTGCATGCGACGCTGGACGTGGGCAAGACTATTTGATGGATGGATGGTTGATTGGACAGCAGTTGATGCTTTACCACTCGTACATTATTAATAAGACAACGAAATGCACATTCCCAGAAGTCTCAGACATACGACAAGGATAGAGATGAGTGAGACAGTTGGCATCGCTTATTCATATTATACTATCGAAGGCGAAGCTAGAGCCAACGGCTCTAATCTATTTTTAATTGTAATTACGACGCAATAGACAATATTAGCGTAAGTAGCCGCTTCGAGCACGTTGAAGTTTCACCACCTATTTCATCTTTTTGTAAATGCCCAAAAATTCGTTAACAACACACCATGACGTCCATTTTTGGGTCCATGTTATTTTTTTATTGATCACTCTATATAGTAGTAAGAATGGAAGCTCGACAAAGCGACTGCATAATCACCTTAGTTGACCGGTGTTTTCTTCTTCTTTGGGCCACGTGGCAACTGCACACCCAATGCACGGTTGAGCTTGGCGATAATCTGACCATTAGGAATAGCACGACCAGACTCATAGTCGGCAATGACCTGTGGTTTCTCATTGATAAGCGTGCCCAGCTGCTTCTGATTCATCTTCTTGGCCATACGCGCCTTCATAAGCGCCTGTGATAGACTGCGATCCACTGCATCATGCTTAAAGTTGTCCGTGTCTTCTTCCAGTTTACGTGCGTTAATAATAGCACCACTGTGCGCACCTTTGTTCGTCCCGGCACCGTCTGTCATAATTAATAAAAAAGCTCAGCCAATCTCAGATAGTATACATAGTGTATACACGTATGTATAATTTCCAGTACGCAACAACGTACACTTGGTCTCAGTCACGACGTTCCCACTGCGACGCGCATTATTAAGTACCTGCTGCTTAGCTGCACCACGAGGGGGAGCACGACTGCTCCAACCGGCTGTGTCCCAATCCTGTCCCTGCGAAAAGTTGCTCATCGTACTTAAAGTATCGCTCGATCTTCACCTTACGTGTCTTTTATAAAACTGAGGGTATACGGGTGAAACGCAGTGACCATCACTCTTGCTTTCGAGAACTCTTTGACGTACATGTCGCATAGGTGATGGAGCAATAGTAAAAGAGAGGTATTTAAAACTGACGTAAAATAATATTAAATTTGATGTACATTTCGTGTAAAGACTGTAATATCAAGTTTACACAAATCAATCATGGTAAAGACAGCGGGTCCCGATCTGAAGCGATACATGGACAAGCGACTGAGTCTGAAGCTCAATGGCAACCGTAAAGTGTCAGGCGTACTGCGTGGATTCGATCAGTTTATGAACGTAACGCTGGATGAGTCGGTCGAGGAAGTCTCTGCCACGGAGTCCAACCGCATCGGCATGGTGGTGAGGCGGCTTTGAACAATTTTGACAGGGAAGGATAATTCTAATATCTAATACGAACAATATATTATTTGTTGATGCTTGTAGGTGATTCGCGGAAATAGTATCGTTCAGTTCGAGTGTCTAGAGCGGATTTAATCTACTATTATCTAGGCTACAGCGAGATAGATAACGCTAAAAGGTTAACTAACTAAGAGTCAGCACATACTACAACTACTTTGTTATTGTCATCATCATCGAAACTTACCACCTGCTCAAAACATGCAATTTTCAATTTGTTTTTGCCAGTGACGTTACAATCATAATCTACTTTGAAGGCTGAGTCGAATCCCAATCCACAACTCTAATACCGTCCTCGACCACCTCCAAAGCCACGACCACCTCCAAAGCCACGACCACCGCCGCGACCACGACTACCAAAGCCACCACCTCGTCCACTGAAGCCACCGCGGCCGCCACCACGACCACTGACGCCGCCACGGCCCATACCACGACCACCTCCACGTCCACCACGAGCACCCCACACCACCACGACCGCCACGACCAGCTCCTGCCGACTTCTTGTCGGGCTTCTCAGTGAATCGGCTAAGAGGAAGTAACTTGTCGGGGCTGATAAACACCTTATCTCCTGCCTGGAAAGATGTAGCCGACACACCCGTGTCCGGCTTTACTGTAAACATGACTTCATTGATGGAGCCGAGAATCTCGTCAACCTTGCCAATGCGCGTCTTGTTCTCCAAAAAGGCACCGGCATTGAAATACGGCACCTTATCATTGGTGCTCTTGTACACCATCTCGTTCTCACAAGCATGGACAAACGAGCCCAACTCTACAGTTTATATGAAAAGCAAACAATCAAAAAAAGTCCGTCTTGTTAGTTTCAGACTTCACGCAAATGCGTGTCACGCATTGCACGCACCAATAACGAAAGCTGGTGGACCCTCTGGCTCGCGGAACCCACCACGACCACTACCGCGACCACCAAAAGCACCACCACTCCGTCCACCCCGTCCACCACGTCCTCCATAGGCACCTCCGCGTCCACCACGAAACGACATGATTTCAGAGCTTGTCTAGCTGATACTTATGCGGAGCTCACTTAGTGCAATAATCGGGATAAGGAGCTTCGTTCAGCCAACCGATGGTTGGTAGTCTAATGGTCTAATTTTAGCGAATCGAAAAGCGAAATGTATGTTTGATTGGCTATATTTTAGAATATACACTTCTTTAGATAAAATTACAATATTGTTATATAGCATAAATCTTTTCTCCTGACGAATAACAATGTGAATTGTAAGGTAGAACTATAAAAAAAAACAGTTCAAGGATAAAGAAATGAATAAACTTACCACGGGGACATGTCACGTTTGGCCCGTTACAAAGCTTGCATTAAGCAGGCAAAAGTATACTTTAAGTGAATGCCGACTTAAAGAAGACAATGGCAACCATTCATCTCGATTTCTATCATCATTAATTCCACTGTAAGTTCTGCGATAAAATTTAGACAGTAAAAGAGACAATATCTGTTATTGACGAGTTAACGCTCATAAACAGCTTGTCCACGCGTGTGACAGCTAAATTGCCTTCACGAAAGCCGAGATATACGCCTTGTAACTCGACTGAAGGTCCCCTTCCAATTTGTTGTCAATATCAAGCTGATGACTTTTTGTATCAGCATTCCATTGTCTAAACAGCTCGATAAGCAAGGGCGTGGCCGTTGCATCAGTACTTTTCCTCCACGCGGCCTCAAGCATTTTGCCTAAAGGTATGTCTCCATAAACAGCTCTGGCTGCTGTGATCAGAGACGTTTTCTCTGTCTTTTCATGTTTGAACTTTCCCGCAAAGCTATAAAAAAGATTCAGATTCGGGTTCTCAAGAAGATTATTCTGAAGGTTTAACTCCCTGAATACTTGAACGACCTGATCTTCATACAATCATCGCGTTCCTGAAAAAGTTTATACAGCAAATTCTGTAAGGGCTGTACAACCTCATCAGTCCCTTAAATCTGTTTTAAACCGCCAAGAATCATCACACGGACGTCTAGCTTGTAATCACGTATCACCCTTGTCATCTCTGCGCCCGGCATAGCCAAATCATTTTTCACATACTGGATCCACAAACGAAGCCGGTTGACGATAACCGAGTGGTTCGGCTCAGGTTTTAGATCAAACTTCAACAACTTGAAGACGTCATCCGCAGACTGTACTTGAGCTTTCCAAGAGGTTCTCAACGCAGACTCCACTTTGCCCTGTATGTCTTTTCCAACATGTTCCTTTACCAAAGCGTCAAGCATCTTTAAAAGGCCTTCACCTCCGTGACGTCCTATCAACTTCGGTATCGCTAATTTTATATCATCAAGCAGATCAGATGGCGTCTGTTTCACGTACTTGACCCACATGTCAAAGTAAATATCGCTACGACCTTTCTTCAAAAGTTTTAGCTTTGAAAAAAGGTTCTCCGCAGATCGTTTCTCCAAATTCCAAGTATCCACCAAAGAATCCTGTAATGGCTGCACTACTTCTTCAGTGCCCATAATCTTACTTAAACGAGCAAGAATCCTCAAACGAGTACTGTCATGGTAATGAACTATCGCTGATCTCATGTTAACGTCACTACTTTTCGAAAAATCGACCCACATTGAAAGCAATTTAATGTATTGCGTGTAATCCGTTAGCTTGTTCAGCTTCAACAGCTTGAAGACGGCATCCGAGGACATTTTCTTCAGTGTCCAAAATTCAATTAGCGCTTTGTTCAATTCACCCTGGATATCTTCTCGTTTTTGAGCTTTTATCAAGGCTTTTAGCACCATCAGAAAGCTTTCTTCTTCGTGATCTTTCGACACTTTTAATTCTGTTTTGAAGGGGTGTGGAAAGGCATTATCAAGATTCCCAATCCAGGTATTATAGCGTTTCTTGCGAAACGGGATGCCCTTGTGGAGCTGTAAGGTCTTATAGGCTTCAAACATACTCTTTCCATCCAGCATCTTTACCATACGGCTAGAAGCCATCAAATTAATATTTTCAACGACTGTGTCGAACCCAGGTATATTAAGGGTCCTTTCTTCATTAATGGTCTCAACTCCGATCCCGTCAGCAAAAACATCTTGGTGAGACGCGATAGATTTCGCTGATGACGAGATTGAGTGTGTCGACGAGGCGTTGATACAAGCAGATAGAACAGCTACGAAAAGGATGGAATCGAGGCGCATGATCTTTGTCTTGGTTTCCTTCTGCTCTTCAGAGTGAAATTAATAATGATGGTGCAGAATGGAAGCAGTTTGCACCTGCACTCGTCGGCTAGGAAACAGGGGATTTTAGCCTGTTCTTTTGCTGTAAGGATCACAGGAAGCAGGGGATTACAGCCTGTTCTTTTGCTGTAAGGATCACAGGAAGCAGGGGATAGTCTACTACATCGATCATAGTTAAAACAGTAAAAAATCACTTCCCAATTCGCGCTTCGAGCAACAACGGCCAAGAGACGAAGACCTTTAAAGAGCGGTCAACGGCCCCTCCGACCAGGGCGGGAAGTCCCTCCAACGGGAGGCCCAGGATAAGAGGGGGAGGTTTTCCCTCTGCTGCGTGCGCTATGGGGGGCAAGGCAGCGTGCGAACCGTAAGGGGAGCACCAACCCTGTTACCCCCGGGGGAGAGGATCGACGACCGCGGTAATCATTCCTTCTTTCCCCAATAGTTCCTGCTATTCTACGTCAGCCTTCAAGACGCCGATTCGATCGCCGAGCGCGAATCTCGGTCCACGAAGTGAACTTGCCAAGAACGTGAATTGATCGGCCCCGTCCAGGTGCATCAGCGGTCGATCGGGACTGATCGGTGTGGTGCCCGGCGCTTGTTGCGATCATTGAGCCACTGTTTACACCTCGGGCTGGATACCCGATTCCACGTGCCCTTTTCGGAGTGTCCCCCGTGACGCCCGTCGTCTCGAGCCAGCAGATTGAGCCAGCGAGGCGAAGAATGACGAAGTCCTGGTAGAAGCACTCCAGACATCTTACCAATCCTTAATGTTTGAAATAGACGGTCTGTTCTTCTAAAACAGTAAGAAATTTAATCGAGTGGTTCAAGTGATTGTAAGGCCGGTAAATTTTGTCGATTGGCAATGCTCTGTCCATATACTGTGCTGGTTGCGTCAGCGAGCTTATCCTGGTCTTATCTTGGAAACACCATAAAAATCCCTCCTTCTTAATTGAGGGTTAGAAGCTTAGCACATATCACATGGAGACACGTCTTCCCTACATTTTCTCAATAAAGTGCGTCCATTCGTGAACTTCCTCGCTTCGACTCGTTTATTGAGTCTTAAGTCGATACGCAATATGCGGATTGCTGCGACCGCTCCCAAGGATATGGTGTACATACGGTTAGAACTGCGGGATGTGTAACTCATCTGTAGTGTATTGGCCCTGGCTGTTGCAGCTGTAGGTTTTTACGATGTAGCGGTTTCGAGAGCAAGCATATTCGTGCTGCTCATGGGGCTACACGGGAATGCTGTAGACATTGTGGCATCTTATGGCGGTAAAGATCGTCTATCTTGCTGACAGCCCGGCACTTCGTTTGGAGCAGGAACTTGATGCTTTTGGTGCTCTTTGCTACTTGTTGCCGGTATCTGCTTGGCGACGTCGGACTTGTGGTTCTGGGTCGCATTGTCACAACTTTAAGGCTGCAACGATTTTAATATCATCGCCATGTTTTTCGTTTCAGTCGCTGGTGATGACGTCCCAATCCTCAAACGAGTAGGCTTACTGTAACGGGGTTACACGACGGTTGTAACATCATTCCGAAATGTTTACGGTTGATGTTTCCTTTTATTGCATATAATGCATTATTATACTTCTCTTTAGAGAGGTATTGAGTATGAGCGTTAAGATACGGTATTCGGTAATACCGTATCTTATCGATTAGGATTCGATAAATCGATAACGCTGTACTAAGTACATCATACACGGATGTTTAGACGATACGTCGTTCAATAGCAAAGTCTGCATATAATAATTACTATTATAGTAATTAATCTAGTGTAGTGTACTTAGAGTAGGACTATTCATAAAATCTTAATGCATCAATAAATCAGTTCTCACTTTGAGTTTAAGATCGCAAGTCGTTCTGACTTGTTCTCTTGTGCACTTCGTGCGTTGGTTCTCTGAACCTTTAAGCTCTAGCTTGTTCTTGCACTCTGTGCGTTGGTTCTCTGAACCTTAAGCCTATTGCTTGCTGACTAAAAAGGTAGCGGAGCTGCACAGCTCTTTACCCAGAGGACTTTCGGCTGGAAGCCTCTTAGTTCTAGAGAACTAAATAGAGTGAAGGCTAAAAGCCACTTAGTTTTAAGGAACTAATTAAACGACTTAAAGTCACCCTGTTCTAAGGAAGTAGGAGAGACTTTTAGTTAGCAAGCAATAAGCTTAAGGTTCAGAGAACCAACGCACAGAGTGCAAGAACAAGCTAGAGCTTAGACGTTCAGAGAACCAACGCACGAAGTGCACAAGAAAACAAGTCAGAACGACTTGCGATCTTAAACTCAAAAGGAGAACTGATTTTATTTATGCTTCTGTGGAGAAGTGCCAGAGAAATGGGGGGCCCTTCGTAGTTATTATAATAACTGGCGGGAAAGATCTCGGTCACTCTCTTGAATGAGTGACAGGGAGTGACCAGGGTCCCGAACTGGTCCAAGGTCCCGAGTTCGGAGAAGATACTAGGATGCCCTACACTACAGACCAAAGGACCAGTGCTGCTAGGACAGCTTAAGTTGACCCCAGGTAACAGGTGGGTCCCAGACAACAGGTGGACCCAGGTGACCGGTGGACCCCAGGCAACAGGTTGACCCAGACAACAGGTGGACCCAGGTGACAGGT